TGGGCTCCACCCCCAGACTTTCTGATTTAGCAGGTCTGTCTTGGGGCCCAAGATTTCTAACAAGTTCCCAAGTGATACTGATATTGTTCCAGGGGCCTCACTTCGAGAACCACTGGTCTAGGACAATTTCATATTAATAATTCCTTTCCTTTTGAATGACTTAATCAATTTAGCCTATTTTGGAATTATAGAATCTTAACAGATCTTAGAAGTAATCCCTCTGTCCTGCAACCAGTGCTGAGGCCCCCTCCATGGCATCCTGTTAGAGAGTCTCCCAGACTGTGCTTGAATACTGTCAGTGAGACAGAGTCACCATTTCACAGTTCTAAATTTAGACACTCCAGTACTTCCATATAGTGATTTTTAAAAAGCAGCCAACCACTTAGCCAAGACTTACATTTTAGAAAAAAGGACAATTCTACTCCCTCTTCCACATTATGACCCTTTACGTCACCATCTGATCTCTTTTAGATTTCTTGGGCTTAGGGAAATCTAGTTATTAATGCTAAGGGTAGCATTCAGAGGTTTGTATGAAGAGGAAAGAGACTGAGCTCTTCCTCTACATCCATGTATGGAGTCACTCACTCATTTAACAGCATTTTGGGGGCTCTATTATGATAAGCATGGTTGGTGAATCTTTACAAATCACTAGGTTTATAAAAAATTTAGATCATCTCTTTGATCATATTGTGTATGAATCTATTGTTTATGTTTATTTCTTATTATAAAAAGTTATATTTACAATCTAGAAAGTATACACAAATCAGGGCCAGGCACGGTGGTTCACATCTGTACTCTCAGTGCTTTGGGAGGCTGAGGCAGAAGAATCACTTGAGAGCAGGAGTTTGCGACCAGCCTGGGCAATGTGGCAAGACCCCATCTCCACAAAAAATAAATTAAAAAAAAATTAGCCAGGGCTCATGCCCTGGCCTGCGTCTGTAGTCCTAGCTACTCAGCAGGCTGAGACAAGATGATCCCTTGAGCTCAGGAGCTGGAGGTTGCAGTGAGCTATGATCACACCACTGTACTCTAACATGGGTGACAGTGAGACCCCATCCCTAAAAAAAAAAAAAAAAAGGAAAAAAAAAAAAAAAAAAATCACCTTAAGACTACTGTCAACATGTAGGTTTATTTAATTCCACAAGAACACAAGAACAGTTTTTCTATAAGCAGGTGGTTATTGTGTTTATATACAGCATACTAAAAAACAATAAAACAACATAGGCCTTTGCTTCCATAGCTTGTTCTGTCTGGAATATCTTACCCATCCTCTCCCTTCCCTCCCCACTCCCATTGGCCTGGTGAATTAATCTTTGAAGACTTAGCATCATTCTGTAAAGTATTTTCTGACCCCACACAGGTAGAACTAAGCATAGCATCCACTATTCTCTGGGCCTCCACTGTATCCTGTACATTTTCCTACAGAGCACTTAAAATACATTGTATTACATGTGTTTGTTTATAGGTTTTATTCACTCTACTTAAGTTCCTTGAGGGTTTTTATGCATCTTTTTTATCTTCAGTACTTAGATCAGGCCCTTAATTAGTATTTATTGCCTAAAAGTTTCCATATTATTCCAGAATATTCATAAACATTTAAAGTATCTCCATAGTACTTCAGAGAATAGGCATAAAAATTTACTTAACCATTCTTCCATTATTAAATATATAGGATGTTTTGTAATTTTTGATATGCTACTGAAAAGTTACTTCTGTTTAAACCTTTAAAATTAAAATTATGTTCTTAGTATACCTTCCCAGAAGTAAACTCAGTACTACAAAGGAAACATTTAAAGTTCTTGATATGTATTGACAAATAACTTTCATGGGGGTTACACTGACACCAGTCATACACTTGAGCCTGAAGGTCATGTTGCACCTCAACAATATCATGTAGTTGGCTTTTCATCTTTGTTAAAGATGAAACCCTAAACAGTAAGAACAGCTGAAGTGCTAGGGAATAATGACTAACTTCATTTCTTTAAAAATTTTGGGAGATTCTATGTCTTCACCTTTAGAACTAAATTTGATCAAAAGAATGCACTTGATTTGCTTCGGGGGGAAAAGGCCCAATATAAATAAATGTCACCTCCAAATATAGATGTTTGATAATATGTTAAACTAGTCCCTAATCTCTGAAAGGAAGAGAAAACCATATGGTAGTGAGACTTTTAGGGTTCCTTACCAAATTACCAACCATCACAATAGGATACAAAACAAAACTCCAAACGCTTTTTTTTCTTTGAGACAGGGTCTCACTCTATCACCCAGGCTAGAGTGAAGTGGCACGATCCTAGGTCACTGCAGCCTCAAATCCCTGGGCTCAAGCGATCCTCTCACCTCAGCCTCCCGAGTAGCTGGGACTACAGGCATGCACCACCATGCCTGGCTAACTTTCTGTACTGTTTTTGGTGGAGACAGGGTCTTGCCATGTTGCCCAGGCTGGTCTTGAACTCCTGAGCTCAAGCAATCCACCCACCTGAACCTCCCAAAGTGCTGGGATTACAGGTAAGACCCACCTGGCCCGGCTAAGTCATTTCTTTGTATATTTGTGAAACTCTCAAAATTTTATGAGGAAAATGGCCTTTATTCAAAAATAAACTTGCAGGTTTGAAGCAAAGGCCAAGGAAGTGTAAAAAGCATATTCTAAGCTGTCAGATTGTGTACTTTTAAATTGCAGTTAAAAGGAGACTGACAAAATTACTTTTTAAAAAGATAAAAAGACAGTAACTAATCTTGCACATAAAGCTTAACACGAGCAAATGTGTGACAACATCAATCACTTTCCTGGCTGTCATAGCCGTGTCTTCTGCTTTACAACTAAACCATAAGGGGAAGGGGGGCAGTGGGGAAGCTTACTAATTGCCTGGTTACTTTTCCACATTTAATGTAGCAGCTAATCCTACCCCTGTTATATAATGCATTAATTCCACAGTTATAACCCCAGAACCTAATACAGTGCCTGTTGGAAAGAAAATAAATTGACTAGTTGCCGCAGTTTGTAATATGAAGGGATTGTTAGATACAATAATAGAAAATGGAATTATAGAGGACAGAAAACACCCACTTCACACATCATGAAGAAGTCTGTTAGTTCTGGATTCCAGTCTTAAATTCTGCTTGGTAATACTCTTGCCAAGTCCCTTTAGGCCACCATTACTTTTTTTATCTGTAAAATGGAGTGATTTTATTAAATTAACTTTGACACCACTTCAAGCTACCTGACAAAGAAATGAAGTTGACATAAATCGTGATTATGTTCAGAGTTTCAAAAGGCAACTTTCTTAGGGGAATATTAAATAATTTTCTCTGTAAAATATTTCATAATGTAAATAATATTCAGGGCAATGTGAAAACATCCTTAATGTATCTTTGCCTTCCACAGTTTTATTTAGTTTCTGTAAGGGTAGTTTTTAGGCGTCTCCACCTCCAAGCATCTAGCACAATGTCTTTGCTCACAACACATGCTCTTAGGCCAAATCCAGAACAGCACATCCATAAAATGCAAAGTTAGCATTTATTGAAGTTCCTACGGAGAGTTGGATTATGGAGGAAAAGATAAGGGCAGTGAGGTGGGAGCTGGAAATGCGGACGGACGTCAGGGTCAGCTGTAGTTCTCAAATGTCCCAGGTGTCAAAAGAATTTTTTTTGCATCCATTGAGATTAAAAAATAAAAAAGAGAGTCCCTTAGTAACCAGTAAATGGTTACTTTTGGACTCATAAAAAAAAAATAAAATAAAAACAAAAAAGAAAGAAAAAATTTTATCGCTAGGATTAAACTGGGCTCAGCATTAAATCCTTGCTGCTTCAGAATAAAATTCTTACTTTAATTTCTCTAGTAACAGGTTTTCAATGAAGACCAAACGAGAACAAGGAAATAAAAAGCTCAGTTAACAATAAAACAGGACCATTACCCAGTATTTTATTGCATAATTATAGCTTAGCGTCTAACTACGTGGACTCTGCGTTCAAAAGGATTCTGTCATTTACATCTCTCTGCCTCACTACTCTCATCTGTAAAATGGGATAATATGACTGACCTCAGAATTAAGTGAGTTAGTGCATGCCAAGCGCTTGCCAGTGCACGTTTCTCAATGAACGTTTGACTTCCTTAATGAACAAAATCTCTTGAAGGCACGGTCCTACTAACTAGCCTTAACACAGCACCCGATGCAATACACAATGCCTGCCTTTTTTTTTTTTTAAATAAAAGAATTGACAATACACTCTAGGATGGTGTTGCCCGGGAAAACGATGTGGAAAGCCGCGAAGGCAGAAGGCCCGGGCTCCGCGACCCGCTCCCGCGCGCCGCCGCCGCCGCCGCCGCCGCCGCGTCGTCACACGGAGCAAAGTCCTCTGGGAAGTGTAGTCTTCAGGCCTTGGGAGGGACTTCAGACCCAGGCCGAAGAGCCAGGAAGTTGAGGGAAGAAAGTTTAAGGGAGGGTTATTGGATAAGTCAAAAGTGTCTGGAGCCCCAGACATGAGTTTAGCCGCTCACCTGAGTCTCCCAACACCAGTACCTTCACTCGATCCAGGGAGGCCATCTTGCCACTGCCTTCTCTGGGTTAACGCCTGTTCCGGGATTGTAAGCCAATCAGAGTTGGGCATGGGGGCAGAACCTTCAATTTCATTGGCCGTTCGGAGCGTGACTCGCCTGATAGAATGCTTCACTGAGCTGATTGGCTGGTGTGGTAAAAGGTATCGGGGTGTTTTCCAAAGCTGGTCGCAGGAAAAATGCGTTTTCTTTGTCGCACAAGGGCGTGGCTCATTTAAGCCGGTAGTTGAAGCTCTGAGGGCAGCAGTAGTGGGAGTGTTCGAGGATTCGCTTTGGTAAACCTTGTTCCCTGTTCCTTGTTCGGAGTTCCCTGGCCGGGCATTGCATTTTATGCTTTCTCCTTCCTTTCGCACCCTCTTAACTATCCTCCCGTAATGAGTTACCCTCTTGCCTTGGTCCTCTAAAGAACCATTGACCCCGGAGCGGCCCGTGTGCGACCTCGGGTAGGGCGGGCTTGGCTGCCCCGAGTGTGGCCCTGGACCCAACTGGGAGAGTCTGCGGGAGTTTGGGGTCTTGGGGTCTCGCAGTCTCGCACTGGGGAGGCGTGCACATCACCGAACGCGTCTTATGGAGGGCAGTTGGATCCTAAGATTTCGCGGTAGTCTGCCGCTATGTGTGTGAAGGCGTGCAAAGTGCCATGAAATGCAGTAACAGAAAACCGCAGTCAGATGTGTAGAATCGAAGTTGTTCTAGAACTGGAGTAGTGGTATACTGAAGTAATCTAACTGTACTCTCTGCGTCCACTCTTTTGTCGTTTTGTTCTCCACTCAGCAGTCAGCACAGTCTTTTAACATCGGGAATTTCATCCACTCACCTCCCGCTTAAAACTATTTTAAATTTAAGAAGGGAGTGTCCAATAAATAGCCTGTCCGATTCTGCCGTGGAAGCTAGAGTGTGGAGGAAGTGAAGTGGGGGGAAGCTGGCAAAATGAGCCATGTTGGAACAACACGTGCCTAGGAGACATTTGGAAGGTTTTATGGAATGACTTGTCTGGCTATGCTAGAGGCTGGAAATTAATTGGTGAACAAGATAAAGTCTGATCTTAGGTATAGAGACGGAGAAAGTACAAGAAGGGGAAAGAGCCATGCAACATGTGAAAGGGGATGCTTGTATGCTACTATGGGGAGTCTTCTGCCTCTAGGAGGAAATGTTTTTGAGACTTGAAGGATGATTAAGAGAAGGGGATTTGGGGTAGACAGAGGGCAGAGGGTGCATTCTTTTCAACTTTGTTTCTCTAGCTCCGTGCCTGGTGCACAGTAGTCCTTAAATGC